TTTTACGTAAGTGGTTTTTTTGAGGTTGTTTGAGGTTGTTGGTGTGTGTGTGTGTGTGTGTGTGTATGTGTGTGTGTATTTATGTAAATGATATATGTACACGTCTGTGCATATATATACATATATGTATATATATAGACATATATTTGTATATATGTATATATATTCATATGTATATATATGAAAACGCATATATATGTATACATATATATATATATATATATATATATATATATATATATATATATATATATATATATATATATATATATATATATACGCATATACATCCCAGCCCTGTCCTTTCTAAGCCAAACCCTCACGTGACCTCCCCGCCCACAGGCCAACTCCTCTGACGCCCACATCGTGATCGACTGCTCGGACTTCCTGCTGCAAGATCAGTTTTTAGGAATGTGCTTGAGTGATGCTCTCTTCATAGAGGCCGGGCTGTTCAATTGCAAGAGGTAAGTGGTTTTAGGTCGAGTTGTGACACTGCTGTATGAGGTTGTTGAGATTTCTTGATACCTCATTTATGGTCGCGGTTGATATGCATACAAGAGTTGTTTACGTCAAGGAAACTCAATTGTGAAAAATAAAACGTTGAACTGATGATCATATGACGCTTAAGTATGAGGATTTCAGGGTTGCCTAATGCCTAATTCAAGGTCGTGTATGATATGCAGACAGTATAGTATACGTCAAGGTACAAGAATAGTTACAGAGGAATACTGCTGTCTTTGGTTTTGGTGTTCGCGAGCTCTATCAGTCTCGATGTTCCCCCACAGCTTCTGCGGCAGCGAGGGACCGCAGTCGGAGGTCGTGGATAACCAGTGGGCCAAGGTCAAGTTCAAGGCAGATCTGTTCAATCACTTCAGGGGATTTACCTGTACCGCCACTGCCGTTGGGGAGGCCACAACCACACCAGCGCCCGTCACAACCACAGCCCAGTGGTCGTTGTCGCCACAACCACAGCCCCAGTGGTCGTCACAACCACAGCCCCACGTGGTCGTCACAACCACAGCCCCAGTCGCCACAACCACAGTGGTCGTCACACCACAGCCCCAGTGTCGCCACAACCACAGCCCCAGTGGTCGTCGCCCCAAGCCCCAGACAACCACAGCCCCAGTGGTCGTCACAACCACAGCCCCAGTGGTCGTCACAACCACAGCCCCAGTGGTAACAACCACAGCCCCAGTGGTCGTTGCGCCCTGAATCCACACAACCATATCACTCCCCCAAAGAGATAAAGTACTAAAGTCAGCTACAACATCTGCTTTACTAACATTTAAGAATTTGGAACGAGGTATGGTAATTAAAATGTGACAGGCATGCATTTACTTCATTCATTTTCCTTTATACACACACACACGTACATATATACATATATACATATATACGTACATATATAATTGTCTGTACAGTAACAATATCGGTTATGATATTGATACTACTGCTGCAAGTGATGATGACGATGGTGATTGTGATAATGACACTGACAATGCTAAGGTAAAAAAGTGATAACAGTAACGGTATGCCTATATATCTCCACATTGATTATCACGTAGCAAAGATAACGAATAATGAGATATTTGGATAGAGTGAGATCTCGCACGTACAGACATCACACACACACACACACACACATACACACATTGTTGATACCAGGGAGGAAGAAATGACAAGACCAAAGCAGAGGGACCAGATGAGATTTCTGGCTAAGTTCTTAAGGAATGTGCCGAAGAATTTGTGCTTTTTTTATTATTCCAAAATTCAGTGAGACAAGGTAAACTGCTAAAAAAATTGGAAACTCGCCAATGTTACACCCTTATATAAGAGCGACGACAAACAAAACCAGTTTCGTCAACTAGTGTAGTATGCGAGCTGTTAGAAAGAATAATTAGGAAACAAAGAGTTGAAGTACTTGGAAAACTCGAAAAGATAAATAAACAATTTGTTTTTTTAGAAAAGGAAGGGTATGTGAAGCAAATCTCTTTTTTATGATAGAGTATCTGAAATATTACAAGAAAGAGACGCCTGGGTGGATTGTGTGTACTTAGACTTTAAAAAGCCTTTGCTAAAGTGTCTCTTGGAAGACTACAGTGGAAATTAGAGCACCTAGGTGGAGTGAAAGGCAACCTACTCGCATGGACGAAAGACTTTCTCCATGAAAGACAGGAGAGCGTAGTAAATAGAGGGAAGCATTCTACATGGCGACGAGTAACCAGCGGAGTGCCTCAAGGATCGGTTTTGGCGCCGATTATGTTTACTATTTTCGTTAATGATTTAGCATTAAAAATATCAGCAGGTATTTCAATTGAATGTTTACAGACGACGCGAAAATGCAAAGAATGATCATACATGACGTCTCATGCCAATGCCTCCAAAGTGACATCGAGAACTTATTAACGTGTTGTACATGGAAAATGGAATTCAACACCAATACATGCCACGGAGGCAGGTTCGGAAAAAGTAGAAATCGCCCATTGTTCAGATACAAATTAGGGGACGCAATATTAAACACAGCTGACGGAAAAAAATCCCTTGGGCTAATTATAAACAGAAACCCAGGCGATCATGGAAATAAAAAGGTCCATAATATGCTAGGACTGATTGCCAACATGAAGAGGGCATTCGTGTATGTGGACGAAAAAATGGTAAAGATAATTAAAACAACCATAAGACTTAATCTAGAGTACAGTGCAGTGGAATGGAATCCTCTCTTAAGACAAAAAAATATGGACAAACTGGAAAAAAGTTCAGAGAGTGGATACAAGATGAGCACCTACTCTAAGAGATATGAGCTACATATGAGCTACGAAGATAGACTACAGAAATTAGGACTTACTACTTTGGAAGAAAGAAGGAAAAGGGGGGACATGATTATGCTGTTCAACTATTTTACAGGAAGAGTGAAATTAGACAATGATGACAAGAAGGAGTAAAGGACACAATAAAGGACTGAAAGTAAAAAGAGGAACAGTCTTAAAAAAGAAAAAAAGAAAAAAAAACGTTGTGTGCCAAGAATGTACATTAATTTAATTAAAGAGTTATACAATTTAAATATAGCAGACGGGACCATCTGAGTTCAGCTCTTCTCCCGTATTGAAACAATTAGGTAAGTACACAAACATACATATACATATAATACATACATATATTATATATATAATATATATATATATATATATATATATATATATATATATATATATATACATATATATATATATATATATACTATTATATATATATATATATATATATATATATATATATATATATAATATATATATATATATATGTATGTATATATATATATATATATATATATATATATATATATATATATATATATTATATAATATATATATATATAATATATATATATATGTATTAATATATATACATATATATATATAATATATATATATATATATATATATATATATATATTATATATATATATATATATATATATGTACACACACAAACACATATATATGTGTGTGTGAGTGTGTGTATATGTACACATCCTGTACTACACACAGAGCAGCGCCTGATCCTAATAGATGGCCAGTCCTCTTGTTCATATTTCGGCCCAAATTAAAACATGCATGTAATGATTATAACTTTCCCCGGCGAATAATTCCAGAGCAGATGCAGTAAAGATGATGAATAAGAAAACCTGGCAAAACGTACATAGAAGTTTCCCAAAATATACCAAAGTGGAGGAATTTCAGGCTATCCTTCACAATTTCATGTGTCTTTTTTTCATTTTTCTTTTTTGTATTTTTTTTAAAATGTATTTTTCTTTCTTTCTTCTATGTCTCTCTCTCTCTCTCTCTCTCTCTCTCTTGTCTCTCTTTTTTCTCTCTCTCTCTCTCCCTCTCCTCTCTCTTCTGTCTCTGCTGTCTCTCTCTTTCTCTCTCTGTCCTTTCCTCTCTCCTCTCTCTCTCTCTCCCTCTCTCCCTCTCCTCTCCCTCTCTCTCTCTCTCCTCTCTCTTCTCTCTCTCTCTCCCTCTCCCTCTCCCTCCCTAAATGATGGCTTCCGTGACCCTCTCTTGATTGTGATATTGCATGAATGGCGATCCCGGTTCGCGTTGCAATCTGAGAAATTTCATCCAGTTTTCGGACCGAAAAAGCATCTTCATTAGCGTCTGGAGGTAAAATTCACAATTATCTGCTCCTGTTAATGCTGCTTCTCAACGTACGCACGCACTCGCATGCAGACACGCTCATGAGGACGGGTAAACATACGCATAAGGACGTACACACATACCACATGCACATACACACACACACAATCACATATATATTTATAGATATATATACATATACACACACACACAACACAACACACACAACACACACACACACACACACACACACATACACAAACACACACACTCAACACACACACACACACACATACACACACACACACACACAACACACACACACACACACACACACACACACACACACAACATATGTCTATTTATCAACGCACGGTAGGCTTAATTAACACTACGACCAATAGATCAGTGATTCTCGACGTGGAACGAACAAATTAGAAATTTAGGGGAACGACTTTCTTTTTTTTTCTGGAGATAAATCGGGAAGGATTTTATCTCTAGACCGGGGAGGATGTACTCATGTAAACAAATGGAATACCAGGACAACCCTATGTAAGGGTGGTAATGAATTGACATCCTCGGTTCTGGGCGTTTGATTGGTCTGTGTTGGGACTCGCTGGGAAAAAAAATCTGTTCCGGTGATTTGTTGTTTTTTTCTTTCTTTTTTGGTACTCTTTTTGTCTCGTTTAATCAAATTTGATATACAAATATACTTAATTGAAGTATATTTGTTTTATGGAGTGTTCCTAACCGTTGCGAAGGTAGTATAATGAGGAAAATTATCATTAATTAAGAACGAGGAGGAGGACTTTGATGATGATGGTCGTAAATAAATATCACTATACTTAAATTCAGCTAACTTTA